AACGAGGCCAGGCCCCGCCCCTGGCCCCGCCCCCAGCGACGTCCGCAGCGCGCCTCGCGAGGACCGGGACCCTCCTGGCGCGGTTTTCGGGGACGCCGCTGCGCCTTCCCGCTCTCGTCGTCCTGCCCGCCAGAGCCCGCCTCGGCCCAACCTTTTAAATAGGATTCTTCCGAGTGCAAGGTGAGGAGTAAGGAAGCACCCGCCTCCCCTGAACCACCATTGGCCCCCGAGAGTTCGAGTCGTCTTTCTCCGGCGTCCTATTGGCCGATGAGGGCAGAGCTCCCAGCCAACTGCTCTCGGCGCAGCCCGCAGGGCATGCCGGGAGTTGTGGTCCCGTAGCTCCCGCCCCTGCCCGCGCACACCCGCGACTTCTCGCCCTCTGCTCCCAGCCGCTGAGCTTCGGTGCCCCGCTCCCGGGAGCCGGTGGATTCTCGCCGGCCTTGCTTAGGGCTGGCAATGTCTCCCCGGCGCGGGTACTAACACCCGCGAGGAGCCAAAGCAAGGAGAAAACTACGGTTTGGATTTTCCCAGACCCGGAGTTGGATTACTTTCTTGAGGCTCTTTAAGAGAGGAAATTTAGCTCGCTCCTGGAAACCAAGGGTTTTGGTGCCTACTCCCCGACCCCAAGTTTCCACCTTTTCCCCCGAAGAAGCATAAATATTAGCACTAGCGAAAAACAAATGACTGGAATGCATCCGACATATTGCTAGAGAATTTCATTGTTTCTTTGGGGCAGCAGGAGCCTCTCCGAGTCTAAGCCAGGTGCAGTCGTAGATCGGTTGCGATTCTAAACGACCTCATCTCACGGGTGCACGTGTTCACATGTATCCACTGTGTAAGCCGAGAAACTGCGGCGACTGCTGGCTATCAGGCCTACAGAGCTGGCCAATGACCCAGACACAAACCCACACCTGTCAGAACCCATCTTCTGCAACTAAAAAGCACCGGGTCCCCTACTCTTTACCCTCCAGGTCTCCCATGGTGCACCTACCTGACCTGGATACCATTTCTAGGAGGATCCACTCACCACAGCGCTTCCTCCACACCACGCACTGTTACGCTTTCCATAAACTGTATTATCTCATTTAATCCTCACTAGGGCCCAATGAGGAATGGAATAGTCTTCTCCGTTATACAGCTGGGAAGATTCAGAAACTTACTCAAGGTCACTTGCCTAGTATGTGACAAAGTCACAATTTGAGTCCAGATTGATGTTGCTCCAAAGCCCATGGTTTTCCACTCTACCATTCAGTATCAAGTAACTGTTGGCCTAATGTTAGACAACCCGTATTTTAATAAGTTGCTAGTGATATTAGGGGGAAAACTACAGGCGCATTATAAATTTTATACTTTGTACATTGTTACTATATGTATTTTGGAAATAGTTCTGCTGGATTGGGAAATAGAGGTGATTTCACATAGGCTTCAAGAAATAATCACCTGGGGGAAATGAATGTGAAGCATAGTTAATTGGTTTCACTTTGCTCTCACAAAACAATCTGGCCGACAAACTTGGTCCTGGTTTGTAGATCACTCTTAAAACGTCAAGGCCCATATTCCTTTATTCACCCATTATCTTATCCTAAATACCACCCTAATTTTTCTTTTTGGAGACTTGCGTTCTTTTTATTTCTACTCGTGTTTTAACCATTTCCTGCTCATCTTCATTCTTCATCCTCTAGCTTAAAAGTGGGCAAATAACTTTTTAACACACATTTTTTAAACTAAAGATTCATTCAACAAGCATTTATTGAGCCCTTGTGTGTCAAGCACAGCTCTAGGTGCTAGGGTGCAATGCAGGGGAAGGGTGGGGATGACAACTCATAGCTGTCCTCCAAGAGCACACACAGAGGGAGTGACAGGCAATGAGCAAAATGAGTAACAATCCAAAGTATGTCTCAATGCTGGAATAAAATCTCCAGACCCACATCCTTTCTCAATCAGTCCAGCCCGTTCTCTGAAGGACTCCTTTGATACCTCTCTAGAGCTTAAAGCTAGTCCTCATTCACGGGTGCTAGTGGGCTTAATCCAGCCACTTTAATTCTCTGAATCCCTTTCCTCACTTATAAGTGGGGTCATATCTGCCAACTTTAGAAGGTTATCGTGAGGATCAAGTGAGGTCTTGCTTTGTTTTCCACAAAGATTGAAATGCTTTATGAAAGTCACTCTGGAGGCCAGCTGCACTTAATCTAAAAGCTTATCCCAAATCTCCATTTTCTAATTTTAGGTGACCCCCAAGCCCAGACCTGTATTTCTAGAGGTGCACTATACCTTTTTACTCCCTGTACAACACTGTAGAATACTTCTGAGGACTTAAAACAAGAATCCAGAGCCCAGGAAATGCCTGACAGTCAGACCCATCAAGCTGCTGAAGGGACTCAGTACCCATGTGATTCATCTACCTTTGTTCCATTCCCTTTTTTCCATTTTCCACCCACTGTAATAACACTTAACAAGGACGCCCTCTAGTGGGCCACAGAAAATAATCACTGAAAGGTGCTTTCAGCCCTTTGTTATTTCCCTCTAAGTAGATACTGAATGAACAACATAGGTTGGCAGCTTCGGAGAGATCAGTGAGAAGGTAACTTTCAATACGCTTACATATGGCCCTGGTTAAAACCAAACTGAACCAGGCACTCAGGCTCCCACCCTTTCTCATTCCCTCCTCTCAAGGGGCATATGGCCTGGCACATGCACTCAAAAAGATGACAGGTAAGCAAATCTAAGAAATGCAACACAGCCTACAGAATATTCAGTCGTCTGCAAACTCCTCAAAACAACTAATACTTGAGACAGAAAAAGAATGAGATAAAGTGTCTATTAAATAATGTTATAAACAAGAAATAGACCATCTAATGAAAAAAAGCCAAACTGTATTTCAAAATTGTCAAATGCAGTGTTCAACATTACTACCATGGAAACTATCCCAGATTTAAACTTTACTAAGTAACCCAAGTAGAGTAGTTAGGGCCTCTGGCAGGAGAATTTATATCTGCTAAGCACTCCTTCAACTGTACTCAGCTCCCAAGTATTACAAAGAACACAAGAACAGAAACAGTGCCTTTTAAAAATGTTTCCCAAAATCTCAATCAGGGAACCATTGTTTAGACATCAGGCAAACCAATGCACAAGAATCTGACCATTTCTCAGTAAGAACTTCAGCATCTTGCCCTGGCAGGTGTGGCTCAGCTGGCTGGAGCATCGGCCCTTACACCAAAATGTGGCGGGCTCCATTCCCAGTCAGGGCACATACTCAGGTTGTGGGCTTGATCCCCAGTTGGGGCATGTGCAAGAGGCAACAGATCGATGTTCCTCACACCAATGTTTCCCTCTCTCTTTCCCTTCTCTCTCTAAAAGTCAATTTAAAAAAAAAGTTAATGCACTGCTACTTCAATTAAAGGAGGAAACCACTTTTCTCCCACCTCCATTTTCCATTTTGATTTCATGTTTATCCAAACATTCAAAACATTCATTCTATTATCAATAATTCAACTTCTTACAAATCACCCTCAAAAGCAGGACAGATTAAGGCACCCTGGTGTGGATGCAACTGAATCTATCACTAGTAGGAACATGCAATGGGAAATAAGATTCCAACCCAGCAAAAGGCTGCTTGGTCCCCTTTACCCTTGTTTAACTGCTGGGTTAACTTGACCAACTACATTCCTCAATGCCGTGCTTGTGCTGCAGAGGTGGGGATGGAAGCCAAAACAGACAATCTGGGGTCAAAGAGGCCATGTTTTTTATAGGAGCAATTTCATGGGGCATTGTGTTTTGTGAACTGATGGTAAGTAGAAGACAAAAGATTCTCCACATTATTCCAGGATGGGAGTCCATTGGCTGGAATGGAACACCCCCTACTTCTGAAGACCCAAACCCACCCCCAGTGCTGGGGAGCTGCAGGCAGCCCAAGGGGCAGGTGGCACAGTTCACCTCTCCCAGGCTTTGCCTTGGAACAGAAGAATGCAGGTCTGTGGGCTGGAGGCAGCCCGACGCAGGTCCATGATGAGTTTCCCAGTCCCAGATCTTTGCTGTGCCACACGCAGGACCACAAACCAGATTCTTCACTTTCAAGAGCTGCTCCAGTCAGGTATACAGTCCTGTCCTTCAGAGGCTCCTCCTCATCCCTCCTGTTCCAAAAGTCTCTGCCGCGTTTCCATCACAATCTCTTCCATTATTTCTGGCTTTAAGATGTCTTTAATCTGAAAAAGAAAGGAAAAGGTATTTGTTCAGAGAAGAAACCAACCACAAGCAGACCATCAAGGCAGGCAAAGTGCAGAAACCAAGCATGGTTAACATAAATCTTCTGTTTCTTTCATTTGTTAGAGGCTAAGCATTACGAGATGTGATCTACTAGAACCAGCTTAATGAATCAGCAAGACTCTCTGGGATACAGCTGACAAGAAAAGAGATATTCCAGCACTCACTAAAAAGGGAGCTGAAACTGGAATGGGAAAGATGAAGTCCAGAGGGCTGTTGTCATAAACTTGTCCTACCTGGCACCTTCATGCCCCCAAACCCTTAGGTTAACACTAGACACTGAGACTACTACAACTATCTTGGAGAAAGATCTACCAGACATTTAGGCTGTCCACCCAACCGGTTCAGACCAATGAGCGTGGTAAAGGTCTCTGGAGGGTGTGCTTGCCATCACTGAGAAAACACTGGCGCAAATTGATAAATACGTGACATTTGCTTATAGATCAATGAGGAAACGGAAGCCCTGGTTGGAGTACCTGATGTGGAAGGGATGCCTCATAGCAATATAGGATGCTGGTATCATACAGCATCATCCTCTGAGTCACCAGCGAGACGATGCAGTTCCGCAGCCGGGAGATCACCTCTCGATCAGTGAGGGAGACGGGCTACCAGAGGATGCAAAGGGAAAGGAGAGGGAAATAGAAACAGAACCAAAATAAGTGAAAAGTCACAGCAAATCGCAGAAATCACTTATAACTTGGTATCACTCTGGGACTCCACACCAATCAAATTGCTAACACCAAGGATTAAAAAGGTGGCTTCCTGCCCTGGCCATTGTGGCTCACTGGGTGGAATGTCATCCCATATACTGAAAGGTCATGGGTTCGATTCCCAGTCAGGGCACATACCCAGGTTTTGGGTTCCATCCCTGGTCAGGGTGCATATGAGGCAAACTGGTCGATGTTTCTCTCACTCCCTTTCCCTTCCTCTCTCTCAAATAGAAAAAAAAAAAAAGCCCAGCCGCCACAGCTCAGCGGTTGAGTAGCGACCTAGGATCCAGGAGATCGAGGTTCAATTCCCAGTCAGGGCACATGCCCGGGTTGCGGGCTCAACCCTCGGGAGGGGGTGTGTAGGAGGCAGCCAATCAACAATTCTCTCATCACTGATGTTTCTATCTCTCCCTTCCTCTCTCAAATCAATTGACATATTTTAAAAAACAAAAAAGTATATCCTCAGGTGAGGATTAAAAAGTAGGATGGCTTCTTCAGTGGCTCTTCAGCTACCACCCTATAACTTTGTCATCCATTGATTTCATCTCTTCAGAAAGAGGGAAATACAGTGTTCAGGAAACACTTCACACTAACAGGTTACAGCAACAGACACAGCAGGCCCCACCCACCAAGAAGCAGAGTGGAGGCTGAGCACCACTCCGCCCCACTCCATGCAGCAGCCACGTGGTGTCCACGCACCTCCAGGTTTGCAACAAAGCCCCCTGCATCATCCTCCTTGTGCTCAGGGGTGGGGTAGATCCAGATGAAGCCGTTGTTACCGAGAATTACTGAGGCCCCACAAGGCAAGTCATGGAAGTGAGTCTTCTGTCGTTTCACCAGGGAGGGGGAAACCTGGACCAGAACACCCTGACCTAGCTAGAGAAATAATCACAAATTAAGTCACTGTGAGGTCATCAATGAAGGAAAGGAAAAGTGGATAACAGAGCACGTGTCCTAGTTATAGTGGAGCCAGGGTCCTTCCTGTTAACGACTGCTGGTCACCATCTGCACACAGTCATTATTCAGAACACCCTTGGGTGCGCAGGTTGCTGACATAGCCCACAGGTGCCTTTCAACACCCTTCTCCACCACTTTCCTCTGCATCCCCACATTCTAATCCAGGGCTGGTGCGCTGGCTGGTAGAGAAGCTGGAGCCAATGAGGACGTGGGCCCAAGCCTCCTGCAGACGAAGGAGCACTGTCAGGTTGCACCTTGACCCCGACCACCTATCTTGCCCATGAGGTGGGTAACACTGGGCTAGGGGACTGACCAAGGGTGTAATAATAGCCATTTTATTGACTGAATATCTGTCTAAGAGTTAGACTGTCCTGTTTCATTAGTCCACGACCTCCCTTTGTTCCAAGGACGGCCTCTTATAGCCCAATGCAAAGCTGAAGCGCCCTCAGGGAGAGAGTACACAGCAGGGCCTCAAGGCCCACGGTCACAGGGGCTCCTGCTAGAGCCTCCTCCTCAGTAGAAAAAGGGTGAAAATTGTATCCACTACAATGCTACCAGCCCATGACCCTGTGAGGCAGTCATTAGTGGGATGCCAGCCTATAACCCTGAACTCTGGGGTTTTCTCCAGGTCAGAATCCCAGACTGCTCTGAGGATTCGGAAACGAAGTCTGGGTCAGCAAACAGGAACAGCAGGAGCCAACTTACTTTCCCGTACTTTAGACTCCTCGTGTGCAGAGAAACAGCTCCATCAGAGAACACTGCCTGGACCTCAGCCTGGCCAGGGTGATGAAGGAACAAACGTCTTCATGCCACCTGCCTCCAGTCCCTGACCCCACCTCTCCATCCTTTCCTCCCACCCCAACAGTCCCACTCGGCAGTCCTGGACCCGGAAGACATCACTGTAAC